TAGGGTTGCCATATCGAATCCAACAATTGGTATTAGAGCGAGTTGCTCTTATAGATTTTTTATCTAAACTTTATTGTTCGAGCTTATAGGAAACCTACGTGTTAAAAATGGTTTCAGTGAAGGACAATCAACTTCTAAGCCCATTATTTTGATGGAACAAATTATACATGTTGGAAAGCTAGAATGAAAATTTATTTGCAATCGGTTGATTATCAATTGTGGTTAAATGTTAGTAATGGTCCTTACATTCCAATATAAATTGTTAATAATATTGAGGTGCCTAAATTAGAAGATGAATTTGATGAGCATGATATGAAAAAAGGTTCTTTGAATGTTAGTGCTATCAATTGTCTTTATTGTGCCGGAAGTAATGATGAATTTAATAGAGTATGTATGTGTTCTTCGGCATATGAAATTTTAATAACTCTTGGAGTAACTTATGAGGGAACAATCACTACAACAAATAATATATACGATAGCTTACGAAAAATGCTATTGTAGACTTTTTATAGCGTTTTTCGTACGTCGTGACAGCCCATGTTATTAAAAGTCTAAGAAAAATGCTATTGTAGACTTTTTATAGCGTTTTTCGTACATCGTGACAGCCCATGTTATTAAAAGTCTAAGACTTTTTATAGCATTTTTTTACGGCTATAATGGATGCTATAATAGATTATGAAGCTATAGCTTTTATATAAGTTGTTATGAAAAGAGCTATAATATGTTTAAGATAACAAAAATATTATGCTATCTTTTAATTTATAATAACATTTTTTTTTTAATGTTATAATATAATATTTAAAACTTTAATCATATTTTATAATAATACTATTTAATCTTTAGGCTCAACAATATTTTCTTTAATATAATCTAACTCAAGAGATATTATAATGTATTTACAGTGTATTTAATTAGATGTACATAAGTTTTAAGAAACGGAAATACATTACTAAAATCTACAAAAGAATAGAGACAATAACAGTGTCCAAGCTTTGTTCATCCAACTTTTTTAACAAGTTGAGCAGCCGATACCTTTCTAGTGCATTATCTTCTTAGGAGCAAGCTACCTTTCTTAAGTGTCTGTTATTTGAGTAGGCATAATATCCCAACTTTGCCATAAAAAATATTGTTTCCAGCAGCACGTTCACTCTCTTTTATCGCTTTGTTCCTCCTGCATCCTCTGTACACAATCAATAATTAAGATATCAACATTGCTTTGATGTACCTCTTGGACTTAGCTTGATTTATTAAGAGAAGAAAATCATAATTGCATTCATCCATCATAACCTCCACAAAACACACTTTTGTTATCCATTAGCAAGTGAAATGAGAAGAATGAAACATAAATTAAGTATTCCATTTGATTATTACGAATATTGCAACAATATTTCAGAATACTACATTTTCTTAATCAAGAGGAGTAAGACAGATAAATAGTTAAAAACTATAACAAAAAAATAAAAAATGAAAATTGAATTTTCTGGCAATGTCCAAACGAATATGGAGTATATGTTAGATTTTTCCAGTGAAATAACATCTTGAATTGTAGCATCTCATACAATCACCTTTAGATGCCAATCCTTCCCTCTTGATTGAGATCAACTCAAGAAGGTCAAAGTAAAACAACAGAGCATGCCTTCAAGGATGCCAGAGTAAAAATAATCTAAACAGTTTTCCTCCTTGATTTTCTAACAACCATTTGTACGACCATGTTTAGATGTAACATCGTATACAGAAATGTTGCTTAAACTTTATATAAATGGTATGTCGTAATTTGCTTATAGAAAAATAAAATTTGACAGAGTTTCATTAATGTTCTTGTTTTAAAAGTACACAAAAGGAAAAAAAACAGAAAACTCTTTTAAAGCATTTATCACAGTATGAACGTTCTTCTTTGTTGCTACTACAAAAGGTACAACTCAAATGATCTAAACAAGCTCATAACAAATATGGTGTGTAGAAACTATCAAGTTCGAAAGACTAGTTAAGTAAAAAAAAAAACTAAAACTATACTGTTCAAACTAGTTTTTTTTTTAATGCATATAACATCCATATATACATTTTACTTCAACTCCACAGTCCTACATGAGTCCTACATGATTTCCCATTTGTTCCATCTTGCACCAACCAAACCAAACTTATGTATGGGGGCTCAAGTTGGTAAACAACCAAGAATATAGCTAAGACAAATGATACTCTCGTGCTTTTGTTTAGGCCAAACCAACATAATCAAGAAATGTATTAGTTAATTATGATAAACAACTAAGAATGTAGTAGAGATACAGTAATAGAAAAATTGTAATAGAAAAATTCGTACCTGAATTAGGGACTTGGAGCAAAGTATGACCTAAAGATGATTTGTTCAATTGAACATATTCAAGTTCGGAAACAAACTCNTTTCTGGTGGAATCTTTGCTTTAAAGCTGCTCCATGAGGGATTCAAGTATCTCAAGTGTCCGTAGAATCTCATTTCTGCTGAGATACCTTCTAATCTATTCCTTGACAGGTCCATCCTTGTGAGTTTCTCATATAGCTTGTTTGATCCTACTGGGACTAAACCAATCAGCTCAACCAATCAGCTCGTTCTGAGACAAATTAATCTCCTCCAAACCCAGGTCATGAATGGCTGAATTGATTGCTCTGCAGCTTGAGCTCTTTCAGGTTATGGATAGCTTAAATCCCTTGTGGTAAATATCTAGATAGAACATTTTTGGAAGATCCAATCTCGTGAGCCTTGTCGAACACCAAAATCCAAGGTACCAGAAAATTGATTGGCTGAAAGATTCAGAACGTTTAAATACAAACACCTTGTGGGCAATGTGTTGGGGACAAGGCCGAAGCATATTAGATGCAAGAGAAAGATAATGAAGCGAAAGTAATTAATAAACATTTCATCCAGAAGAGGCGCACAGAAGAGATTATCAGAAAAATCAAGAAATCTAAGTGGGTATCCGTCCAGATAAACCATTACGACTGGAATTAACCGTATGAAGACCGGGAGGTAGAACAAGCTCATGACTAAGATTGCCAGAAAGCGAGAGTACCTTGAGATGCTGCAATTTCTCAGACCCTCTTCCGGTTCTCTCTGGTAGCCCCAACCCATCGAGGGAAAGCTCGGAAACTCCATTGATGGGGTTGCATTTGACGAACTCCCAGGGACAGGGAGAATCATCTTTATTCCAAGACGGGTGAAAGGAAGAAGGGTCGTGGGAGGCCTGATTTGAGAAGAAGAAGACAAGATTGCTATCCGCGGTCGATACTAACCCTAACCTAAGGAATTTGAAATCTCTTTTCTGTGTTTTTTCCTTATTTTCCCTTTTCCGTTGTTTTTTATTTATTATTATTATTATTTTTTATGTTTTCTATTAATAGCGTAATATATAAAAAGCAATCCTCAAAAGCTATTAAAGGGGCAATTTCTTGTAGTGAATCAAGTTAAAGAAATAAAAATTAGCATGTTAGTTCATAATTATGAACTATTTAAAATGGATGAAAATAAACCTATGGTGATATGTTTACTAGATTTACTAATATTCTAAATGTTTTGAAAAATCTTGAAAAATTATATTATACTCTCAAAAATGTAAGAAAAATTCATAGGTCTCTACCTAAAAGTTGGGAGGCAAAAGTGACGGCGATTCAAGAAGCAAATGATCTCACAAAACTTCCTTTTGATATACTTGTTGGTTCTCTCATAACACACGAGATTACCATGAAGGGGCACATGGGAGAAGAATCCAAAAAGAAGAAAGCCCTAAAGTCCATCAAGGTTGACTCCGAAGATGAGGACGTTCTTGATGAAGATGATGTCACCTACTTCACACGTAAGTATAAAAATTTTAATAGAAGGAAGAAACAATGCAAGAAACATTTCACCAACCAAAAAGAGTCAAAAGGTGAAAATAGCAAAAACGATGAGGTAATATGTTATGAATGTAAAAAACCGGGTCATATAATAACGGATTGTCCTCTCCTCAAATCATCTAACAAATCCAAAAAGAAACAATGAAGGCTACTTAGGATGATAGTGATGAAAGTGCAAGTGGAAGTGATGAAAAAGTAACAAATTTTTGCTTCATGGCTTATAGTGACAGACAGTATGAACAAGAAGATGAGGTAATTCTTGAATCTCTTTCTTACCATGAATTATTTAAAGTTGTTGATGAGATGCAAATTGATTTAGAAAAACTTAGTTCAAAGTATGTTGTGATTAAAAAGAAATATAAAACTTCAATAATTGAAAATAAGTCTTTATTAAATAAAATTTATTGCTTAAAAAAGAATGACATATTGTTAAAATTGATGTACGGTGTGAAAAGCATGTATTTGATTGTTAGGAGAAAATGCATTAATGGATAAAGTTAAGTTTCTTGAGCATGATTGTTGTGAAAAAGATAAATTAATTAAATTGAAGAAAGAAAATGAATCAAATAATTTGCAACAACTTGGTAGGAGAGTCATATGGTGATAAAAGAGGATTAGGCTATATTAACGAATGTTCTGCACCTTCAAGTTCTAAAACAATATTTGTAAGCATCCCTTTATCATATCTAAGTCTAACTCATGTATTTTGTATTTAAGTATGATAAATCTAGATCTGCGCCTATATATCATTATTGTGGTGTTGACGGTCATATTAAACCTAGCTGCCTTAAATTGAAAATTTCTCAAAATATTTGTCCAAGAAGAAAATTTTCTCAAAACATAAAGTTCAACAATGTCTTAAGAAATAATTTTTCCATTAAAAATAGAACACATAAGTTTAGTCCAAGAAATAAATTTTTGCATGATGTTTGTTTCTCATGTGATAAGTTTGGACATAAAGATTATTCTTCATACTTATCTATAACAATGTCTTTAATATGAATGTAAACATGAAATGGATTCCTAAATTTGTGAAACTAACTTTCTAGGACCCAAACAAATATGGGTACCAAAATGTCAATTTTGAATATCTTTGTTTTTAGGTTTGTTTGAAAGCCTCCAAGAAAAATAAGTGTATTTGTAGGTTGTTCAAGACACATGACGCGTAATCAATCCAAGCTTGTGAATCTTTTCAGGAAGAATGGTGGCTTAGTAACCTTTGGCGATAAGAAGGGTAAAATAATTGGTAAGAGTAATATAGGTAATGACTCTTGTACTTTCATCGAAAATGTACTTTTAGCTGATGGTCTAAAGCATGACTTAGTTAGCATTAGTCAATTATGTGATAAAAAGTTTTAGAGTTGTATTTGATAAGAATAATTGCATAATTGAAAATGGATAGAAAAGTTTTGTTGGTAGGAAATAGAGATGATAATGTGTATACTATTGATTTAAATGATTGCCCTACAAATGACAAGTATCTTTCGATTTTGCTTGATAACTCTTGGCTATGGCATAGAACACTAAGACATGCTAGTATGCACTTGATTTCAAATCTTTCAAAAAAATTCATTAGTTAGAAATCTTCTTAATTTAAATTTGAAAAAGATAAAATTTGTAATTCATTAGTTAGAAGTCTTTCTAATTTAAATTTGAAAAAGATAAAATTTGTGATGCGGGTCAAATGGATAAGGAAATTAAGTCTTGTTTCAAATCTAAAAATGTAATTTCTGCTCCTAGACCTCTCCAACTATTACATATGTAATTATTTGGTCATTCTAAAATAGTTAGCTATGGAGGAAATTATTATGCTTAGTTGATGATTTTTCAAGATTTACTTGGGTTTGACGATCAAATGATGTTTTGAAAAGATTGGTTAGTTTTGTAAAAAGAGTTCAAAATGAAAAGGTCTTTTAATTACTAAAATTAGGAGTGACCATCCACTAGAATTTGATAGTGTTGCCTTTGAAAAATTTTGGAAAGATAATGATAGAAAAAGAGTACTTTACAAGAATTTGCTAGATCATTATTAAATGAGTATGATTTACCTAAATACTTTTGAGCGGAAGCCATTAATACGGCTTGTTATATTTTAAATAGAGTTTTAATTAGACTTTCATGAGATAAAACTCCTTATGAACATTGAAATAACAAAATTCTAAATATTGGGTATTTCAAAGTTTTTGGTTGTAAATGTTTTATTTTTAACAACAAGGAAAAGTTTGGAAAATTTGATTAAAAAACGGATATTGGTATTTTTCTTGGTTATTCATCTACTAGTAAAGCTTATAGAGGTTTTTCTCGTGACTTCTCCTCTCTAAGGACTCCTCAACAAAACGGTGTGGTTGAAAGGAAAAATCACACTTTACAAGAATTTGCTAGATCAATGTTAAATGAGTATGATTTACCAAAATACTTTTGGGCGGAAGCCGTTAATACCGCTTGTTTTATTTTAAATAGAGTTTTAATTAGACTTTCATGAGATAAAACTCCTTATGAAACGTTGGCATAACAAAATTCTAAATGTTGGGTATTTCAAAGTTTTTAGTTGTAAAATGTTTTATTTTGAACAACAGAAAAGCTTGGAAAATTTCATTAAAAAACGGATATTGGTATTTTTCTTGATTATTCATCTACTAGTAATGCTTACAGAGGTTTCAATGAGAGAACTTTAGTTATTGAGGAATCTATGCATGTGGTATTTGATAATCTTGCACTAATATTTCTAATGAGTCTATTTGTGTGATGATTTAGAAAGAAATTTTGGAGATTTACTTGTTAGTGACAAAGGCTAAATCAATTTGAAAGGAACAAAGTTTGGGAATTAGTCCCTAGGCCCTCTAATACTTCTATTATTGTAACCAAATGAATTTTTAGAAATAAAATGGATGAAAATGGGAATATCATTAGAAATAAAGCTACGTTTGTCGCTCAAAGTTATTGTCAAGAGTAAGACATAGATTATGAAGAAACTTTTGCACCCGTTGCTAGATTAGAAGCTATTAGAATGTTACTTGCTTTTGCTTCTTACAAAATTTTTGTATGGTATCAAATGGATGTGAAAAACGCATTTTTTGAATGGTTATATTAGGGAGGAAGTTTATGTAGAACAACCTCCCGGATTTGAAAATGTTGAATTTCCTCATCATTTCTATAAGTTAAAAAAGGCTCTTTATGGCTTAAAAAACAAGCTCCAAGAGCTTGGTACTATAGACTTAGTAATTTTCTTATTGGGAATGATTTTAGAATGGGTAAACTTGACACTACACTATTAAAGAAAACGATATGCTATTAGTGCAAAAATATGTGGATGATATCATATTTGGTTTTATTAATCCTTTTGTGAAGAATTTTCTAACTGTATGCCTGGTAAGTTTGAGATGAGTATGATGGGAGAACTTAGTTTGTTTATTGGACTTCAAATCAAAACTCAAGGATGGTATCTTCATCAATCAAGAGAAATACTAAAGATTTGCTCAAAAGGTTTAAGTTCAATGAAGGTAAGATTGCAAAAACTCTCATGAGCACATCCACTAAGCTTGACAAGGATGAAAAAAGTAAAATTGTGGATATTAAAGCTTATCAAGGTATGATTGGATCTTTACTTTACTTGACCGCTAGTAGACCCGATATTATGTTTAGTGTATGTCTTTGTGCTAGGTTTCAATCTTGTCCTAAGGAATCTCATTTACATGCGGTTAAAAGAATATTTAAATATTTGTTTGGAACTATTGATTTAAGATTCCTATAAATGTTGAATTTAAATTGGTAGGATATTCTGATGCGGATTTTGCTAGAAGCTTACTTCATCGTAAAAGTACCAGTGGAACTTGTCAATTTCTTGGTAGTTCCTTAGTTTCTTGGTTTAGTAAAAAACAAAATTCGGTTGCCTTATCTACTACTAGAGCGGAATATATTGTGGTTGGTAGTTGTTGTGCTCAAATTCTTTGGATGAAACAAACTCTTTGTGATTTTGGATTAAAATTTGATAGTGTGCTTATATTTTGTGATAATACAAGTGCTATTAATTTAACAAAAAATCCTATTCATCATTCTAAAACTAAACATATTGACATTAGATATCATTCTATAGGAGAATATGTGCAAAATGGACATATTATTCTTGATTTTGTAAACCCTAATAATCAACTGGATATTTTTAACTTAATGAAGAAAATTTTTGCAAAAATAGGCTTGAGCTTGATATTATTAGTTGTGATATATATTGAATTTTATAATTTTGTTTATAATTTTTGAAGGCATGTTTTTAGGGCACGGTGTCATTCTTCCTGTATTATTTTTCGATTGTTATTTTTGATAATTAGGAGAGAAAATGAAGAAAAATATGCTCTAAAGTTTGTTGTTTTATAATTTATGAATCATTTACTTGGTGTGATGTTTTATACTGTCTTTTTCTTTAGGCATTAATATAGGGGGAGAATATGCTAGTGAAATTTATAGTAAAATTTATAATAATATATTGGCATGTATTACATGGACGGTGTATTACATTGGTTTTTATGAATTTTTCTTAAAAGGAAAGGGTTTGTCCTCATAAAAGAGAAGGGGAGATTGTTGGCTTTTGGTCCTTGATCACGTTTTAATTAATTTCAATTAATTAATTGAATGATGATTTGATGATAACAAACCTACCTTTTAATTATTAACTAGTTTTAGTATTTTGAACTGTCCACAGTATAAGGTTGGGAATAACTATTTCAATGACTTCTCAATTACTCAAATCAGAGCTAAAACGAAAAAATTACAGTTTGAAACAACATACCCGACGTGATGATGATGTGGCAGCAAAATTAAAATGATAGATAAATCAAAGTATATCAAGTGTGACACTTATAATTTTGGAAGAGTAACAAATGGAGTTTTTCTTATTATTATATTTTTAAATAAAATTATTTTTACAAAATATAGATTTGAATCTAACCGCTATTCATATCGATTTTTATTATTACTATATTATATTTTATATTTTAAAATTTTTGTAGTTACTCACTCAATTTTTATTATTATTATATTATTATATTTATAATAAATTTTAAAATTTTAATTTAACCGTTATTCACATCACTTTTTATTATTATTATATTATTATATTTATAATAAATTTTAAATTTGTCATTTGACTGACATCGGTTTTTATTATTTTCATATTATATTATTATTATATTTAAAAAATTTAAATAAATGAATTTAGAAAATTTTCTTATTTATTTACTTTTAATCTCCACCTTCCATTACTCCTAACCCAATTCAATGGTCAATATTAATTCCTACATTTTGCTACTTTTCTTCTCTATGTAAACTCATTAACTTCCCCACATTTTCAACACACAACTTCCATAAATTCTCCAATCCTCATTTATTCTAAGTCTCCATTGTTTGTTGTTATCTCCAAACTTCCAATTTTATTTTTATTCCTTTTATTATTGAAAGAGATTTTTTTTTGTAGGGTGAGAAAATAGTTGTGGGTGCTTCAAATTGTAAATCTACTCTTTGAGAGAATTGTGGTGTGTTACTACCAAATTCAAATACTTGTACCGATTTAATCTTGCGTTGTGAAAAATATTGAGTTTGCTCTTGAACTCGTAAAAAGAGCAGTGTAGCAGATTGGCTCTGCTTCGTGGAAAGAGTCGAGGAAGTTGTTTATTCAAATTCCCAAGAGGCGCTTGGGGAGTAGAGTAGGTTGAATTTGACTAAACCACTCTAAAACTACGGTGTCATATTTTCTAACTCTTTCCTATTTAATTTCAAAATTATTATTGTGATTTATTGCATGTTCTACTTGATTATTGTTTTGACTTGAATTATTTTGTTCTAGTAATTATCATCTTATACTTATCTGTCAAAAGTTTCATCATTATAAAAATTAATCATTATTCCCCCCCCCCCCCC